TGTGACTTCGGATAGTGACTTCGGACTACTACCACTACACTATTCCCCCCCCGAAGTCATTCACTTGTGAATGATGAAGAGGGTTGGGTATGGTGTGCAGTGCGGCCGCGACCGAAGTAAAGAGTGACGTGGTTGTGATACGGCCTTAGCCGAAGTAACGATCATGGCATGTGGTCATGTGATGCGGCCATAGCCGAAGTAAAGATCATGACACGTGGTCATGTGATGCGGCCGTAGCCGAAGTAAAGATCATGACATGTGGTCATGTGATGCGGCCGTAGCCGAAGTAAAGATCATGACACGTGGTCATGTGATGTGGCGTGAAAAGTGTTAAACGTGGTTTGGTTAAATTTGGACCGGTTTTGAAATGAAACCGGAGGGAAAACAGTAATATTTAAAAATTACTCTGGGGGGGGTGACAGCTGTTCTCGGGTGACGCGCTGCAATACATGGCAGAGTCAGGAATAACTGCCGAATTCGAAAGGTCGCGTTTGTTACCGTCGGATGTGGACGATCGTGACCGTTGATAGGCAAGGAAACTTCAGTATAAATAGCCAGGACTGAGCTATTCAGAATTTACCTTGCTGATTTCGTAGCGAAGCGCTGCCGAAGTGAAACGAGACCATCTCGTCGTTCGAGTTCGCGGTATTTCCAGAAAATTTCTAAGTGCTTTACTTCGGTCACTGAAAGATCAGGTAATTCTTGAAGTTCGAGTTCTGATTTCGGAATTTAGTATAACTGATTTTAGATCTAAAGTCCAGTAGAGAACGCTAGAGGTAGGTGTGGGATCAAAGTAGGAAGTTAACTGTTCTCATCCAACTTGTAGTGAGTCACGAAAGATGTCGTCAGAAGAGACACTAAGTGTTGGAGGTAGCGAGGGGGACCAAGGACTGAGCTTAACCAGCAGGGATGAAGTGGAGAGCTCAAAGGGCGAGGGGAGTGGGGGGGCTAGAGGTGAGATGGTAGAGGTGGGGATTCCGCCTAATGTATTAGAGGTAGATCCGGATAGGGCTAAGTTCTATAATGAGGACGAGGAGGTGGTGGAAGAGGTGGTGGGGTACGAGAGTTCGTGGAAGACGAGGAGTGACCTCACCCACCTAGTAGAACAGTATGCCATTCCGGGGCACGTCCTGCTTAGGCCGGCCGGGGAGAGGGAAAGGGCGTGCTCGGCTCCAAGGGATCATTGGATGCCGGTGTACGGGCATTACTTAGCAGCCGGGCTTAGGTTCCCATTGCCCGAGCTGCTAGTGGCGCTACTGCTGGAGTATGGGCTGGGGTTGACGCAGCTCGTCCCCAACGCAGTTCGGCTTATCCTAGGGTTTTTAGTATATTGCCGAACTCGAGGTGTAATCCCCACGGTAAATATCTTTAAATATTTTTTCTTGATAAAGGGGGGAAGTAAGAGGGAGCGGGGGTGGTTTTATTTCACACCCCGGGTGGCTGGAGGAGGAGGAAGGAACCTGCTCAATGCAGGTCCTTCCTC